CACTACACAGCAGTGGTCAAGTCAGACTATGGAACTGATGGAATGGAATGGGGACAACCCTTTTACTCAGTTCAACCAACTTCAAATTGATGGAAAAGAAGGAATTTGCTGTGGTGGCCCAATATTTCTATGTTTAGGAAACACACATTAAGAGTTTCTGGTATGATAGCACAACTTGAGCAATACAGAACTTTCTTCCCCCCAATAATAAAAGGTGGAGGACATTCTACAATATTGGTTTTCTTTATGTTTTAAAAGTACAGATTAGTCCCTGAGATGTATCCTTCTGCGTATTCATTTAAGGTCAGAAGTAAATGGATAAGTTATCAGGATATATGGATAGAAAGAGGGACGTGAAGCTAAACTTCCACATTTGACACTTTTTCATTGTGTGGTTTGGGGTAAGTCATAACTTAGCATGGTTATGCAGCTATAAAATGAGAACCATAGTGGCATGATTCTCAACAGCCCCAAGTAAACAAACATTGTAAAAGTAAGTTGCATTCGGAGTCGTACCAAAATGAGAAACCAAGTACTATTTAATGGTCCGTTCCAAATTAGATTTGGGAGGTGAATGGTGATGCTAGATCCAGTCCTAACTAAACATGTGTTTATTGTTTACATACATGCTTGCTCTACAGAAAGTTAGCCAGCAGTCTTCATAATGGCTGTTTTGAATAATGAAGACATGTGTTTATTGTTTACATACATACTTGCTCTACAGAAAGTTAGCCAGTAGTCTTCATAATGGCTTCTTTGAATAATAATGAAGACATTAATGTCTCCATTCTTCAAGATAATATACAAAGATATCCTGCTCTCTGAAGCAAGTCCACCTACCCTTCTTTCCACGCCTAAAACTCTCCCACAGAATGTATACACCACCTACATTTCCCTTCTTTGGGGTATAGCCTTTAACTCCTTAAATCCTCATTTTCATTTAACTGAGTATACCTGTTAGTTCACATCCTTACTGCTCTATCGACAGTGAAAGAGACAATTTAGCTTGTAAGCTCCAAGAAACACAGTCCTGCATTTTTGGAATAACACCATTTACAATCCTATGTACCCAAGTGCCAGAAATGGGTATCTTAGAAACTTCTTCCTTCTAGAAACTGATCAATGGGTTGGAACCAGTGTTCCCTCTAAGCTGAGTTAGTGTGAGCTAGCTCACAGTTTTTTACTCTCTGGCTCACACTTTTGTCTTAGCTCAGGAAGGACGGCTCCAGAGCAAACTAATTTATGCAGAAGTCAAATTGCTTGCTCACAACTTTAATGTCAGTAGCTCACAAAGTAGAATTTTTGCTCACAAGACTCCACAGTTTAGAGGGAGCATTGGTTGGAACCAGACTGAATCTGCAGTTTCCACTCATTGTCCATTCCACTAAAGACTCTCCTGAAGCCTATCCTTAAGAGGTAACTGTCCCCCAGGAGAAGCATTTGGTAGAGATCTTTCAGCTGCAGTGGGAGGGGGGAGGCAGGAAGTTTCCATTCTGCCATCAGGATCCAAACTTGCATCTCCAGAAATACTACCTTGTTTTTATAAATATGCATCCTTTGGAAGCTAGTAAGCCAGTTCATGTCATACAGTATTTTATACTAATATTTTGAACAAAATAAAGATGATCTCTGATTAAGACACACACACACACACAATGACCCCAGTGATATCCATGGCAAGCCCTGTTTTGTGTTTTATACACTGGAATATAAAAAAGTATCCTTTCAAAGCTTCTAAAACAGGGGTGTCAAACATACAGCCCGGGGGCCGGATTAGGCCCCCGAGGGGCTTCCATCAGGCCTGCAGTGGAACTGGCCATCTCCTTCTTCCAGTTCTGCTGCTGCATCATAGCTTGCTTCGTCAGACTCTCTTAATCACTCACCCATTTCATGTTTTAACCTGGGTCCTAGACTCAGAACTCTGAGCATGAGATTTCTGTGGTGAGTGTCAATAAATCAAAAGTAGGTTTGCAGTTTACAGAGCTAATGTTTTAAGCATGTTTTATTTTAAGTAAAAAAACCTTTGTGTTTGCATCCTTTATAAAGTTTATATCTCCGCTACCTGGCATTACATTTTATGACACACATGGCCCAGCCCAACAAGGTCTCATTTATGTCAGATCCGGCCCTCATAACAAATGAATTTGACACCCCTGTTCTAAAACATTGACTTCAATAATAGTACTAGAGGACATCTGGCTTAGGAATAGCATCTTTACACATGCACAAGCCAGCCAGTGAAGCTAAAGAGGATCACATAAAATGCCAAAGAGAAGATGTATGGTCATGTATTATTATCCATAATTAGCTATAGCTTATAAAAGCTAATATGGCAGAAGAATACTATGTGTGGTATCAAAATGCAAATTGTTACACTGAATCAGTCACCTGCTGCCTTTACAGACTTTCATTTGCTTGGATTCAGGGTGTTTGTTGCGCAGTTTTTGCTTTTTTAAAACCCCAGTGCAGCAAGGAACAAATCACTAGATTCTCATGGGTTGAGAAAGCTCTGCTGAGGAAAATCCCCTAGATTTTCCAAGCATTTAACTTTAAAGGAGCCATTGGGCAATCACTGGGGAGGAAACAGTTCTTTCCCCCTGTGCCAACATTTATCAGCACTGTCTTACTACAGCAAACATCTGCACTATAGAATTTCCAGCAGAAATTTTACCCTGCTCTGTCTAACCCTGCACACACAAAAGAACTGAATACACTAGCAACAAAACAATAATCAAACCCACAGCTTTAAAAAAAAGATTTGGCTAGCCAGAATTCAAAGCCTGTAAGAACTACTTGACATCCAAGGATAAAATGAAACCAGTACAAGGTTACGTGCTGTCACTGTAGGCTTGCACACAATTCTCTGCACCAACCATTAATCAAATCTGACAAGTACTGAACTGATCACAATTCCCACCTCTGTACCACACCAGATAGCAGAAATACGTGTGTCACTGTGCCTTATTTCAGTTTGGCACTATAAACTGCCTTTGAACAACAACCCCTGTTTATGTCATCATCTAAGCACCCATAACAACTTCAGGTACATTGTGTAACCTTTTCTGGTGTCCGGTTCCACCACACTCAGGTAGAAGCCAGCAAGCACCAGCTACCAAAAGATTAAAAACAAACATTCAATTGGCAGCCAGCTTCCAGTGGAAGGGCATGAATGTTTAAACACATTTCTTTTCATTCTGTGAGAGCCAGTTTGGTGTAGTGGTTAAGTGCGTGGACTCTAATCTGGGAGAACTGGGTTTGATTCCCCACTCCTCCACTTGCACCTGCTGGATGACCTTGGGCAAGCCATAGATCTGGCACAGCTGTTCTTGAAAAAGAACAGTTTCTGTCAGAGCTCTCTCAGCCCCACCTACCTCACAGGGTGTCTGTTGTGGCGAGGGGAAGGCAAAGGAGATTGTAAGCCGCTCTGAGACTCCTTTGGGTAGTGAACGGTGAGGTATAAATCCAATCTCTTCTTCTATACAACATTCAGGAGACTCAAGTGCAATACATCTCAAGGCAACAAAGAAGCCTCATTTGTGAATAGCAAAAGTAAAGGGATAGGCTACTTGATCAAGGAGAAACACATAACAGGATTGCACTGTCTGCCACAACGCAAATATTTACTGCAATTTTCCTTTGGGGGAATGCAACTTCTTACTACTCTGTGGATTTCTACTTCATTTAGCAACCTCCATAACATATGAAGCTGCTTTGTACCAAGTAAAATCACTTGTCCGTTGAGATTGTTATTGTCTGCTCTGCCTGGCAGCAGCTCTCCAAGGTCTTTCACATCACTGACTCCCTGAATCTTTTAACTGAAGATGCCAGGGATCCAACCTGGGACTCTGCCACTGAACCCAAAAAGAGAGAAAAAAGACCTTCCACAGGACACAAAAGTATCTAGTTCATCTTTCTTTAACCACTTGCAACACTGCAGAAGAATTACCATTAAGAAAATTACATACATGCCAATGGGATAAAGATTGTTCCCATACCATGTCCTTTGTTATAGATAAAACTATTGGTGTTCAACCCCCCTCCATCCCCATCATGACCCAGAACAAGCCTCCAAGGTACAGTGTCACAAGAGGCAAAATTATATAACATGTATTTTTAAAGAGCCACATTAGCATCACAGCTTTTTGCACATAAAGAGGCTGCAGAGGATGCTCACGGGGATTTGACCTTCTGCTTCCCATTAATACCGTCTGTCAGGAGCACCTCATCAGGAAACATCAGAGGCCCAAATACATGTTCATTCCTCTTCAAAAGCAAGCTAACTAGAGAAGAGGGGAGCAGTTCCTACGCATGCATATTCATGCACTCAGAGTGGGGAGGCATGCTCATGGATGCTGGAAAGGCAGCGATAGCAAGGAACACATAATTACGTTACCAAATTCACTGAAGGAAATAAACTACTAGAGGGGAGAAAAAACAGACCGTTACAAAACAAACATGTCCCAGGACACTGGGAAAAAGGACAAAGGGAAACCGAGCCAACACTAAGCCCTCTGACCTCTATAAAGGTTCTCCAAACATATATATATATATATATACACACACACACACAATGCTATTTACCCACATACAAAACCATTTTGCCCCTCTCTCTCTCTCTTTTTTACTAAACTCTTATTAGGCATATTAGACAAACCTTTTTGGAATCCGGAGATTCCCCACCACCACCTCTCCTTTATAAAGGGCAAACAGAATTAATAGCTTTGAAATCCTGAATTATGTTTAAGCAAGCACCGGAATTACTTAGCGGGCCTTCAAAGAATTATACCCACACACACATGTGCACATCATACCGGAGAGTTCGCAAGACAGAGAGAGGACCGAAGCAAATGAAAGGTCTCTGTGGCAGGGACCCGTTCTTGGTACACGGCCAGGGGCAAACGTGCCCGTTTTGGAGATGTGACTCACGAAACACATAAAGAGCCACAGCCACCACATACGCCGCCGCCCTCCCCTCCTCCCGCGCCACATCCGACACTGACCATAGATCATGGCCAGGCCGGTCTCGTGGAGGAAGCGGACCCGGCGGTGCTTGAAGAGCCAGATGGTGAGGATGGTGAGGGTGAGCAGCAAGATGAACGTCAGGAGGCTCACGCTGTCCTGCCGGTGGCTCTCCTCCGCCTCCTTCTCGGTGGCGATCTCCTCCAGGGCGCTGCTACTCCGGTCTCCCATGCCCAGCCCGGGGGCTCCGAGAAGCAGCAGCAACAAGAGCAGGGGACGCGGCATGGTGTTGCCCTCTTGCAGACCGGCGGGGCACCCGCCCTCGCCTCTTCGCCTCCTCCCCGGCCCTCAGCAGCGCGCCGAGCCTCCTGTGTCTGCAATGCCCAGCCCGCCTCCGTCCGGCGACGCTCCGCCAGCCGAGCAAGGAGCAACTTCAGTGCGCAGAATCATCAAACCCCGCCTCCTCCCGCCCGACAGGCCACAGCCGCCGGGTTAAGCGGCGAGCCTTCCCGCCCCTTAAAGGCGGGGCCTGGGAGCTCTGCCCTCAGAGTCGGGGACTAGAGGAACAAGGGAGCAGAATGCGTCACTTAACAGTGTACAGGATGCGGGTCTCCGTTCGGCAATGCCTGTTTTAAATCCCTCCCGTCCCAGCAAATAAAAAACTACCACATCAGTGAGAAGAGGTTCTAACTCAGCTCTTTGGCTGCTCAAGCCCCCACCCCAAACAGGGAAGCGTTATAAATTGCACTCTCTCCCTTCCCTTCTGCAGTCCCTGTATGTCATCTATTGATGTACCACAGTCCCCAGTGAAGAAAAGCAGGGCAGCAAAAAAGTTCCCTTCTCTTGGACGGTGTCCAGACAAACTACACCCCCCCCCATTCGATCTCACCTAATTCTGCTCCTCACTGCAGCAGTACCCACCCCACGGGACTGCGGTGGCCCAAGTGGTTAAGACGCTGAACTGCAGGCTGTTGGAAGGTCGGTAGTTCAGCAGTTCGAGACCCGGGTGCCGCATGTTGGAGTGAGCTCCCGTCTCTAGTTCCAGCTCCTGCCAACCTAGCAGTTCGAAAGCAAGAAATTACAAGTAGATAAATAGGGACCACTTCGGTGGGAAGGTAACAGCGTTCCGTGCACCTTGGTGTTTAGTCATGCCGGCCACATGACCACGGAAACGTCTTCGGACAGCGCTGGCTCTTCGGCTTTGAAACGGAGATGAGCACCACAACCCTAGAGTCGGATTCGACTGGCTTTCGAGCAAGGGAACCTTTACCTTACCCACCCCACAAGACTTTTTGTCCAAGCAGGCGGGTCCCAACAGCACAGCCTTTTGGGTGGGCTATAGTGGGGCATTGTGGGGTTAGGCCTCCTGACACTGGACTTCCCATCCAGCCCAGGGCCCCCAAGTGGTGGCAGATGCGGGGGAAAGAGACAGGTATTCCTTTAATTCAATTAGCCAGTGCCCCCCTAAGAAATTTAAAAGCCACCCGACTTAAAAAATCCTGGCTATGGGCGTGGCTCCCTTCTTCCTTTTTCATGAGTTCAAAAGCTGGTTGCTTCCCCAAATGCGAAGGCAGAAGTGAAAGACAGAAATGGGTAAGTGATGGCAGATCATTTGAGGTAGAACTCAGGAGGGTCTGCCCACCTGCCCACACTCCTTTGTCTAACAGTGTGATCTAATACAGTTGCACCAGTTTAAACCCACTGATTTCATTGCCTTTGTAAAGGTCCTTTTCAGGAAAACCAGTTGTTGTCAAGATCTTTTCCAGGCTGAAGCAGGAGCTCAGCTGTCACCTACCAAGTCCCTACTTCAAATGTTAGCCAGGCCCATAACTACAGTGGGGCTTTTGGGGGTTCTGCCCCCTTTCTTAAAAGCACAGCCCCACAAGAATTTCTCCTGTAAATGCTTTTTTCCAATCATTTTAAAACATTTTTTAAAGGTATGCACTCCTTTAAGCAGAGTAGGGTGCTTCAGTTGACTAATTCCTGCACTGAGCAAGGGGGTTGGAGTAGGTGACCTCTAGGATCCCTTCTAACTCGGTGTCAAGAAACCAGTCTTCTTTAAGAGAGTTTTTCTGCCTAAGTGATAGTTTTCTTGACTATAGAAGTCATCACCCCCACCTGCCAGCTTGTTAGCAGAATTGCTGCTTAGGCTGGCAGAAGTGATTAACTTGCAGCAGCTGAGAACTGTCATCTAAAGTGGTTGACAGGTTGCAATGTAGAGATTTATCCTGGTAATAACAGTGTTCTATTGGCTAAATGGCTTTTCTTTCTGCACTGAGAACTTCAGCCTCACCAGAAAAAAAAATTGCCCCACAAGCCACAAAATCCTGGCCTGATCTTAGTTCAGTTGTTAACTTGTAGGTTGCAGAGGCAACTCATAACTTCATCCTTATATAGTTTGGGACCAACTTACCTGGAAGACTGCCTACTGCCTTAGGTACTACACGATCCGTACAGTCATCTTCTGAAACTCTGCTTCAGGTGTTCCCCCAGCTTCTGAGCTTAGGTAGGTGAAAACTCAGGAGAGGGCCTTCTCAATCGTGGCACCAAAACTTCAGAATTCTCCCTCAGGGAGACTTGTCTGCCTAGGCTTACTAACCTCCAGGTGGGGCCTGGAGAGTTCCCTTTATTACAATTGATCTCCAGATGACATATCAGTTCCCCTGGAGATAATGGCAGACTCTATGGCATTGTATCCTGCTGAGATCTTTTCTCTCCCCAAACCCCACCCTTCCCAGGCTCCACCCACAAAATTTCCAGATGGCAGCCCTATGTCTGCAGCACTCTTCTATTGCCATTTTCTGCCAGCAGATTAAGACTTTTTTTGATTTTGAAGACTTTGGCTTGGCATTCCCTCAGTGATCCCTTCTCTCTGCCCAATGTTTTAGTTGTTTTTTAACTTTTTGTATGTATTTTAGCTCTGGTCTTGTTTTAATGGAGTGTTTTTGTTGCTGGTTTTAATGGTTTATAAGATGTGATTATATTATGCACATTTTAATTTGTTAGCCACCTCAGTGGCTCTTGTGGGAGCAGAAAGGCGGGGTGTCAATTTTGTAAAATAAAGTAAATAATAAATCCTTATTTTTCTGTGAGACATATGGAGATAATTACTGACTGGCCTGACAGAGGTGTTATAAGGATTACTGAAACAACACAAGTATGTGAACACTTCAAAAATCACTATATACATGCTAAGGATTGAAACAAAATTTAGAACAAAGTTTGAGTTCAGTGGCCCCTTTAAGAGCAACAAAGTTTTATTCAAGGTATAAGCTTCCATGTGCATGCATACTTCTTCTCCTTCAGACCAACACAGCTATCCATGTGAATCTACATCAAATTTAGATACTGCAGGTTATTATTGCTTAAATATTTGTTTGTGTCCTTTCCCTTTTTTTGTCCCTTGAGTTTTGGTATTATCAACAACAGAGTAATTAATTCCTCAGAGTCCACTAGTAGCATTTCCCAAACAAAATGTGTAATGTTTACCAAGTATTCTGCTGAATCAGATAATATTAAAGTTATTATTCTGGTTGCTGGTAACCTGTTCTGATATTTTAAGATTTATATATGTATGACTGAATAGTGAAAGGAATTAAACTAGGGTTAAGGTATAAGGGTAAAATAATCTTATGCAGAGCAAAGCACATTCAAGGCTCTTTTCTTGGGCGTACACAATAGGAGAACAAATGCACAAGATTAGACTGCTTGTCCATTAAAACTAATAGGCTAAGACTGAAGTAATTCTGCATAGGACTGCACAGTTCTCCACTGCAATATGAGATAGTAAAGAGTACCAGGCCTCTATTTCCAGTCCAATAACAATTTTATATTGGTTTTAATTTGACAATCGGATCCTATTGTTATATAATGCTCCACTTGCATGAGTAGTGTCTTGCTTGGCTTTCAAGCCAAGAAAGAAAAGGCATGTCTAAAGACAGACAGCACAGCTTGTTAGATCCCCAGAGAACAATTTGTGTGGCCCACCCCGAAAGCCAATATCCCAATTTCCCACCAACTGCTGACTAGAACCCATAGAGATCCCCAGCTATCAGAACACCATCTCCTTCCATTAGCTCCCACTGACAATCAACCATTCATCCTGGATTGATGAGAAAGGCTGGCCAGCAGGCTGTAATGCCATGTTCTTTTGACCAAGTGGCATACGGCACAGATTGATCCCTGTATGCCCAGTATTCTGTCCCTACTGGCCCTGCATTAGGAGCTGACCCCATCCTTTACATTCAAACACAAATTATTTATTTTGTGCATTTCAATGCCAGCTTTCCTCCAAGAAGCTGAGAATAATGGAGAAGGAAAACAATGTACATTGTTCTCCTCCATATTTTTTCACGACAGCCTTGTGAGATAGGTTAAGATGAAGGAGAGTGAGTGGTCCAAGGTCACACTGTGAGCTTCATGGCAGAATGAGGATTTGAACCTGGGTCTCCCAGAGTTTAGTCTGACATTCTTAAACATTATACCACATTAGCTCTTTATTACCAATAGATATATTTAAAGGTAAAGGTAAAGGTTCCCTTGCTCGAAAGCCAGTCGAATCCAACTCTAGGGTTGCGGTGCTCATCTCCGTTTCAAAGCCAAAGAGCCAGCACTGTCCGAAGATGTTTCCGTGGTCATGTGGCCAGCATGACTAAACACCAAGGCGCACGGAACGCTGTTACCTTCCCACCGAAGTGGTACCTATTTATCTACTTGCAATTTCTTGCTTTCGAACTGCTAGGTTGGCAGGAGCTGGAACTAGAGACAGGAGCTCACGCCGTCTTGCGGCTCCCGCATCTTGAACTGCTGAACTACTGACCTTCCACAGCCTGCAGTTCAGCGTCTTAACCACTTGAGCCACCGCAGCTCCTAATAGATATATTTACTGCTAGCTTAACTAGCTAAGAGTGGTAGCAGTGTGCTGTCTCCTTGCTTTTAGTAGGACTGAGCTGACCAGCTGATACACAGGGTAATATGGTAGCTGGCACTCCCAACAGCTACAGGAGCAAGAGAAACAAGCTGCTAAAGTTACTTCTGGTCCCAATAATGGCTTAAAAGGGATATAGTTGCATCTCCCCCAGCCGCTTAACATTAGACAGGTGTAATTTTAAATTTCGAATATCTCTTGGCTTCATTTACAAACCTATGCTGTAATATATTGCTAAAGCTGACCACAGAAGACACACAGTGGTAACATTTTCATTTTTAAAAAATGAACTGTTTTCACATTTTTCATATATATGTTCAATTGAGTTTATTCCCAAGTAAGTGTACATAACACAATAAAAAATTAGAATGCTGGAGACCCAGGTTCAAATCTCCACTTTGCCATGTAAGTAAAATGCTCATGGCATATTTGTATAATGTGATTAGACAACTGCATAGGTCATAGGTCTGTCATAGCCAGGATTTGCATAGAGAAGATTGCAGGCGTCATCAATATAATTTTCAGTTTTTAAACAAGGAAGAGCAAGGCTTGGAAGGACTGAGATCTTGGAGCGTCTCACTGCCAACCAGAATATACAGTAACAGGTTATTCAAGTACCAGCTCTCCTGTGCAAGCACACTTCTTCAGACACAATGCAAACCGTTCTGCTGCTTCAGACCAACACGTCCGCTACCGACCTGAATCTAGCAAAACAATGAGTTTGCTTTATCCCTAAATTACAGCTATTGCAAATCTACCTTTGTTACTTGTTGACTATAGTTGAATTTTACACCATCACGTCTCAGTTTGCACTTCGTGGCTCTTTAATAGTGCTGTTTACAACGTTTTTTCTTTCTAACCTCATTGTTTTTAAATTTCCACAATACCCCGGCTTATTCTTCCTTCATACACTTAATTTTTTTTTGCCGTTCGCAAATTTTCTGTTGTTTTTTGCTGTTCTAGAATTATTGCTAGATCTACAGTAACCTTTACAATCCTGCATTATTTATTGAGACTTTCGAAACCGCTGCTTAACTATATGGGGCACAGATATGCAACCACAAACCGTCTGTTAGCATGTGCAAAGTGTTTCTACCGTGAACAACCTTCCTTCCCTCTCAAACTATAAAAGTTTCCGGGACAAAACGCTCGAACTTTTCTCATAAAAATGTATTTCTCCATCCTAGTCCCTGGCGGGTATCAGAGGCCGACGGATAACGCCGAAGGTCCTCCCAGGCTTTTTACAAACGACCTTACTCCGCCTCCTGAGGCGGGGCGGGGGCGGGAGGTGGGGAGAAGCGAAGGATTCGACAAGCCTACTTGACTGACGGGGACGCTTCGAGGAAACACCGAGTTCCTATTGGCCTGCTGATTTGGACAGACAAGTTTGGCCTTGGAAAGCAAAAAGCCAGACGCGAAGAGCGGCCGTCGCCCTGGGAGACGGAGGAGGGAGAAGCCGGAAGCGAGTGTTAAAGGCGGCGGGCGGGGCCGGGTGAGGTTCATTTGGACGGCTGGCGGTGCTGACGGAAGGGGGGCTGTGTGGCGGCGGGCGGAGGAGACGGACCGTCATGGGCTGCTTCTTCTCGAAAAGAAGAAAACAGGCCAAAGAGCCGCAGCTCGGTGCCGAGAGCGGGGACCGGAATGGGGCCGGCGACCCGGGAGCCGAGAAGCAGCCGCAGTACAGTTGGGACCAGCGAGCCAAGGTACACCGCCCACCCTTTTCTCTGGAGCCCTGAGCTCTCTTCCCCTTTCCCTCCTGCCTCTGCCTCTCCTCGCCTGGCTTCTTCGCACCCCCTCTTCTGCGGATGGCAGCCGGCGCTTGTCTTTGAATCTCCAGGTTCGGCCTGCTTCGAGCCTCTGGTGGTCTGGGGAGGAGGCTCCGTGGTCATCTTTCCCCTACTCAGGGAAGCGTCTGGGTTTAGCGGCGGGGTTAGCTATCCCTCAGCACCCTGCATTCTCAGAAGGAGGGGAGAGAGGAATCAAAAGTGCTTCATTTTCTCCGAGTATTTTCCAGCTCATGGGCGGGTTCCCCCTCTCCCCCTTTCTGATTTCCACCAGTGACCTGGGGACGCGGAGCCGAGGCTTGGTACAGGTTAGGCACTTAACGTAGTGTAAACAACATAGGGGTGTGTGGGGTGTTGAATCGCTTGCTAAATCATTGATGGGTTTACTTTCTGCCCCTTTCAGGGACTTCTGAGCCTAGTGAGATTTCTACATTTGCTTTGCACTCATCTTCTACTCTCTCTCTCTCTCTCTCTCTCTCCGCTCTCTCTCTCTCTCTCTCTCTCTCTCTCTCTCTCTCTCTCGTTCAATGTGTCTTCAGCACTTTCTCCCACTTATCTAAAGGGGGAGGGGAAATCCCCACTGTTTTACCCCTTTCTTCCATCATGTTGAGGAGTCGAGATATTCGTCTGTTAAAACAATTTTGTGGCACTTTAGGTACTAAGTGTACGGTAGTCTTTGAGATGCCACAGAACTTGCTGTGTTCTCTTCCAACAGGCAAACAGAACTGTCCCTCTGTGAAAGTTAATCTGTGATGGTGGTGGTAGTTCTAGTAGTTACAGCTATCTGAATGTGAGCTCCCAGACTAGTTGTTCTGAGGATCAAATGGAGGAAGGGAGAAAAATGTAAGCCACTTTTCAGTCCCCATCAGGAAGAAAGGTGGGATGTAGCTGAAGGAAATATATAAATATACATGTATTTGTGTATCTCTTTTATCATAAGAGTTCTAAGCTCCCTTGGTGGCTGTTGTAAGGGTGGAGAGGTGGGATACAAATTCTGTAAATAAAATAAATGAGACTATAAACTAGTGCTTGCCCTTGTGTTTGATGTAAGTCATAACTGTATGTTATTAATTCTTTTTCTCTAGTCATCCCTTGTGTCTAGGGGATGAGGTTGCCGTGCTCGCAGTGGCAAAGGCTGCTGTCATTCCCGCAGGGATCTTTGTTTGTTGGTAACCAGCACTGCGTTCCCCACAACTCTATGCAAGAAGATTGTCTAAACTTTTTTCTTCTTGCCCCAGAGGTCTTTTGTTTTAGCCTTCAGGGCATTGAACACTTGAGGAAATGTGTCAGTATGGTACACTTGAATCATGCTAAGATCTTGCGCTCTTTCTTTGCTGATTTCAACTTAGAGAACTTCCATATAACCTTGGACTCATTTCCTCTTGTGATGATAAACTTCCTTAATAGTAGGAAGATGGTGTATTGATTTATTTATGTCACTGAAGCTAGTAGTACTGTGGAGTTTGACTAATTGCATATGATGGGCTATAAGATCTTGCTTGAAAGGAGACACTATTTTGTGAAGAATGAATTGCCAAACAGACGAATTAACAAATGCACTCCAGTACCATAAACTATAGGGTGACAGTACCAAGGGAGTGATAGAACTGGGACTAAAGTTGCAGTGTTTAGGGTTGAACAGAAGGCAGTGTAGAAATGTCCTAGATAAATAATAAATAATAGGCAATCAAAGAACTCATAAAGCTGAGGCTCTGGTTGGATGTTAGTAGATGCTTGTTCTGTGACACACTTGGATAATATCATTTATTGTCTTTAGTATCATGTTAAATAGTGGAAATCAAGGCAGTGGAATGCCAGAGGTTTGAATACTGAAGGACTGCATCCTATGGAGAATCATTAATGGTGCCATATGTGCTGTGAAAATTGGATGGGCTTTGTTGTCAACTTGTGTGCCGTTTTGGAACTTTTCAATTTTGGAAGAGTTCTTTGGCTTGCGATAAAGGCTTCAGCTGAAACGAGGAACATCAGGCACCTTTTCCCGTAGTATGTATCGTTGACCAATGGATTTGATATAAAAGTGTAATAAATAGTCACATATTTTAATATACTATATTTAATTGATGATAATTGTATAGTTCAGTTTCGTAACTTTGTGTAAGCCTTCATACACATTGGACTTGGAAGGGTGGCTGACTTTATTTGCTTTGATTTTTTTTAATGCAAAAATTCTTAAATGTTTTAAGAACGTTCAAATAAAAATCTACCCATACATGAATGACTTCTTAATTTTTTAAATGAATATATACAGAATGCAGATCTTTTATTGAGTAATACATACCAAATATGTATGATACAGAGCCTGTCGATTCAGCAAGATAGATGAATTATGTATAAAAGCATATTAATTTGTAATTCAATGAGACAAACAGAATACAAATAAATCACCAGCTCACTAAATTATTATAGTTCAGGTCATTCATTCTCAGTGACATACAAAATTGAAAAACATGTGTTCTTAGCATTATCTCATCTTAAATTGTACAACAAATCTCCTTTCTACTACGGTTTACTAGATAAACAATTATTTATAACAGCGTAGAACCAATGGTCATTTGTAAAATAGATACAACTTTATTAAAAGATATGAAGTTCTGTCTTTGGGGTTCTCATTTTTATCTGTTTAGTAATCCTCAGGGGGGGGTGTTAAAAGATAGTGACACACCTTAAACTGCTGCATGGAAGTTAGAATCTAGTTCTGTCTTGTCCAAGACTGGATTCACTATGTAGACTCTCAGAAAAAGCTTTATGGACCAAGAATCTTTTAAAAAGATACAGCCTACTTTTCTCCCTCAATGGGACCACAAAGTAACCTCACAACAGCAATCTTATGAGGTAGATTAGGCAGACTGACTGGCCTGACAAGGGATTCAGACATGGATCTCCTGAATGCTAGTGGAAGCACTGCACCACATTGGCTCTTTTTAGGTACTGGAGTCACTAGCTGATTGTTCTCTCCGCACTATCTAAAAAAAAGTTCCCTCTCTTCAGTGTCTGTAATACCTTATATACCTTAATACCTTAGTATACAGTATGGTAAAGTTCAGCCAGACTGGAAAAACTGTGTGCCCCTCATCTAAAAATTGAAGTATTTGAGCTGGAAATCTGCATAATTTTTAAGGCAAAACATTAAAAAAAATTCGTTTTGAATTAACTTTGTTTTATCTACCTCAGTTGTTGTGCAGGCTGTTAGAAGTGTATTTTGAACTCCAGTGTTTGGTGATAGGATATGCAGGTGCAGTATGATTATTTGGATTTATAATTTGGTTTATAATTGGTTTCCCTTCAAAGAGAAGGGAAAACTAGCCTAATTCAGTTCTGTAAATTAGGTAGTTGCAAATTATATTCTTTTAGGTTTTGTAGTTAACCTCATCCAGCTTCCCTCATCTAGCATCTAAAGCCTTCAAGTGGATTACATCAAGCCATGGGTTTAATGTATTCTAAAACTGATGGCTGGGGTGGGGGAGGATTGGCATTAAGATTAAGGAAACTGCTTGATAAGGGATGGAGTGCTCAGGAGGACTCATAAATGAGTCCTATGACCTTTTACATCCTAAAATGTATTGTGAGTGACATAAGCTTAAGTAGATGTCCTCTTCTCCATTTTAGGTTTCTCCATGGAACATGTGTTCCAAGAGTTTTTGAATGAATAAAAAGAACTTTAACAATGTTAGCTGTGCCCACACATTTAAATTACAAATGCAAAGTATAAAGTGGTGTTTTCTCCTATTTAAAGAAGTGTATATTAAAAAATGGGCATACAGAGATACAGAAGGTGTTCATCAGTTTTGCTAGTGTAGTATTCTGTGAATTTTATATTTAAGACAGTCATTTTTAATAAGCAGATATTGGTGGTCTTCTGTTTTTGAAATCAGAATCCTATTCATGTATTGCTCTATATTATCTGTGTTCCTTACAGCTTTGACCTGTGTCTTAATTCCACTATACAGCAATAATGTTCTTTCTTGCAGCATTTTTTGCCTTTTCTGTAGATGAAATGTGCACACTTGACAATAACCAGCATATTCATATGTATAATTTCACTTTCTTTGTAGTTCTTAGTTCCCCTTGAATTTAGCTCAATATGGAGAAGTCCATAAATGTTTCATGTTTCTGTTTCAAAGCTTTTAGAGCATACATACTTTCTACAAGTAAGACAGTAAAGGAATCTACAAAGCTATCAAATTCAGTTCATACAGATTCTGAATATTTTAAACTGTACATTTAGATTTTAAATTGGAAAAGTGAGTTGTATACACAACAAAGATTCAAGTGGATGATCCTATTGAAACCTGCTCGTACTTGAATTACCTATTTCAGTGGGATTTAGTAGCAGAAACTCTCTAGATTACACTAATAAAAATTACAGGTGGGACTTTAACAAGACACAGCCTTCAATATACACACCATGTATTAGCTCTCTCCAGATGTTACTGCATCCAGTTAACAGAGCATGGGGGGAGAATACATTAGCTTACAAGAGGCTTTCAGTCACAAGCCATAGGCTAGCAATAAGCTGTTTTGGCAGTCAAACCAGGCTATTATGTAGAATTCTGTGGAGAACGCTCAGCTAATTGGACTCAATATTTTTAAAGGGCCACTTAAAATCAAGAAATACCCATCTGTTTAGGAAAATATACTGAAATTATGCAAGACTAAGTCAGCAAGAACTGGGTTCTTTGCCCCCCATTGTAATGTTTTCAGTGCACAAAGAATGGTGTAGTGTAAAAATGTTATTATCATTTTTGATGCAAGTTTGGAAGAAAGTTGTTCTTTCTTTCTGGAGGAAATTAGTAAAGCTTATCGTATTAGAGGAAGTTAAGTGGGATTTCGGTAGTGTTTCAACTGCATTGTTGAAGTTGCCAAATCTAAGAGAAAAGGGAAGCCAAGAAGCTGGCCGTTTGGCATAGAACCCACATGAAATTGCCCTATACTGAATCAAGGTCAGTGTTGTCCATGCAAACTGGCTGCAGCTCTCCAGGGTCTCAGGTCTTTCACATCACCTACTGCCTGGTTGTTTTAACTGGAGATGCTGGGGATTGAATCTCGAACCTTCTGCATGCTAACCAGAGGCTCCTCCCCTCACAGCTATAGATGACTGTTCTCTTATATTTCTGTTTCTAGCACATTTGCAAATGTAGCCCTGATCTCTTCCAATTTCATGTTCTGAGACTCTTTAGTATAAATTGTGACAACTTCTAGCCTGTATTATTGTTAATTAATTCTTGAATTTCAGGTGGTTTTATTATTATTTGAATATTTTGGATTTTGTAAGTAAGTCAAAAAATAAAAATGCCATAGTATTCCATCAAGAAAATAAAAAGCAAATAGGCAATGTTTACTTGGGAATTCTTAATTTGGTTCTATAAGGATATGTTGGCTAGAACTTACTATGTTTAATCCATTCTACCGTGCATCCTCTCTCTGTTACCTTAGTCTGTAACAGCATCAGCCTCTAACAAAGAACCCTAGCAGCCTACAGTATCTGTCTTAAAATTTTCTGAGCACAATGTCACTCCCTAAACAATAATCCTTCCTCCCATCTGTGTTTACAGTTAACTCAGATACTTGATGTACATAATTTGTAAACCTTAAATACAAAAGTATAATTTGTTCTAGTCTGATAATGTTCTTGTCCATCATTGAACAGGGACTACTGAAAGTCTCCATGTGTTTTTGTTTACACCGTATTTCGTGAAACCATTTATTATAATTGGATGTTTTGCTCAAACACTTGTGTAAACTGCCAAGAAGAATCGGTCCAGTTATAAGCATCTTTTATTTTGTATCATCTTTGGAGATGAGCAGAATAGCCACCTATGCCTGTATAATAGATTTGGATTAGGGTAGAGCATTTAACCAGTCAAGAACAATTTGAGTTTTTGACCCATTGAGAATGAGTTTGTCAGCCCTGACCTGGATAGTCCAGGCAAGATTTCGTCCGATTTCGTCGGATCTTGGAAACTAAGCAGGGCCAATCCTGGCAAGTATTTGGATGGGAGACCTCCAAAGAATACCAGGGCTGGGAGGTGGAGGCAAGCTATCAAGCCACTCCTCTGAACATCCTCCATGCACCAGTAGGAGTTGTCAGAGATTGCCATGACTTCCAGGCACGGGTGCGTGCGCGCACACACAAATACCAAAAAAGAATGAGTTTGTCATGTATTTTTAGTGTTTGCTTAATCAAACAAAGCAGGAAGGAAAGGATGCTGTAACAGGTTTGATACTTACAGTAATTAATAGGCTGGAAAGTGTGGAGTTGGAATTTCTATTGGATTAGGTTAAAAATATTTTTGTCAATTGTGCAAGGTAAACTGTTCACTCCAATGTGCCCATCCCACATGGTCGTGTAACTAGCCTAACTTTGTCTGTTTATAATTAGCCTAATTTTGTCTGTTGGGTCTAAAATATATAGGTCCTGCTACATGATATTGTGTCTCTTTTCCAGATCGATCCAAAAGACTATATGTTTTCTGGACTCAAGAATGAAACAGTAGGACGTTTACCTGGGAAAGTTGCAGGTCAACAGTTTGTTATTCAGGACTGTGAGAATTGCAATATCTACATCTTTGACCACTCAGCTACAATCACTATTGATGACTGTACAGGCTGCCGGATCTTTTTAGGACCTGTAAAAGGCAGTGTGTTTTTCCGTGACTGCAAGGACTGTAAATGTATAGTGGCTTGCCAACAGTTTCGTACAAGGGACTGCAGGAAGATGGAGGTGTTTTTGTGCTGTGCCACCCAGCCCATTATTGAATCCTCTACAGGTATGAAGTTTGGGTGTTTCCAGTACTACTATCCAGAGCTGGCTTTGCAGCTGAAAGATGCTGGTCTGAGCATCTTCAACAACACATGGAGCAATATCCATGACTTCACGCCAGACTTAGGAGAGAACAATTGGGGCCTTCTGCTGGAGGATGCTCTAGCTCAGGATGCAGTACCACTTCCAACAGCTGAAGAACTGAAGGCTGTGAGAATTTCAACTGATGCCAGCAAGAGCATAATTCCTATAACACGGGGGCGACGTCCAAAGTGCAGTGAGGAGTCTTGCCTGGTAGTGTTCTTTGCTGGGGATTATACAACTGCAAATGCAAGGAAATTGATTGATGAGGTAAGAAGCACTTTGCTGTGTCTCACCCTGCATCTTCAGATGTATGTCTGGAAATTTTAGGAACTTTCTAGAGACCGTTACAACGATGAAGCTTATTAGCTTCCAGATCACTGCTGAGTAATCACACTTCATATGGCCAAGCTACACAATGCCACTGTATACTATTTTGGCCATGCTTTACAAGGTACAATTTATAAAGCAGCGAGAGAAACTCTCTAGGCAGGCATTCAGGAACTCTAATTTCAGAAAAGTGTATTGTGGGCCATTTATTGTATTCCTTGTTGCTCTTGGGGGAAATATAGCTTGCTATAAGGAGAACGGGGAAATATTGCTTGCTATAAGGAGAATAGGGAAGTGGTTGTAGAACATGATGGGGAAGAAGCAGCTGCACCTTTGACCACCAGACTTTAATTCAGTCACATTTAGCTTCTGAGGCTTCATCAAAATTGGTGTTCAATTTTATTTTAAGGACTTGCGATCTGTATTTAACTCAACCTGTATTTCTCAGTATTGCAGATGCTATAGTATAACACATGGTATTTTGGATAATTTCAGATGATGGAATAAGTTCTTCATTACTTGCAAAAGTAATGGCTAATCAGACTGCAAGAATGCTGTATTTTTAGTATGCATTGCACTATATGTTGCTTGCATTGAGGGTACTATATAAAAATCATCAGCATTGACCTGATTCTTACTACAACTGTATGAAAATTGATTGTTTTAACTAGGTAATTAAATTTGCTTTGTATAAAACTTTATCGGGTCTCATATATGTAGAGAAAGTTTAAGTGGGTTACATTGATTATAATGCAGACTGCTCCATTAATGGCCAGTCGCTCTCACTAACTGAAACACTTCCATCTTCCCAGTACAGGGACTGGGTATCTCAATCACATTGAAGCCTTATTCATGCTTGCTTCATATATTCCCATTTTCAAGTGTGGCTTATCCTTTTGAGTATGCTATGTGAATAAGAGATTCAGAAGACTGAGGTGCTAATTCTAGTGGGAGCACAGCATTAAAAATCAAGGAAGAAGCTGACTTCAACATTGGAAACACGATTTGTATTTGCCTATCATTTTGGACTGCTGCTTCTAAGAATGTAAAGAATGTAAATATTAAAAAATATTCAGCAATTCTAATTCTGGTTTAAATTCAACAGATGACTGGAAAAGGCTTCTGCTTGGTACAGACTAAAGAAGTTCCAATGAAAACTGATGATGCACAAAGAGTATTCCAGCAAAAAGCATCCGAATTTATTCCTTTACTTGAAAAAGGTATGACAGTTCTTGCTGTGTACTACAGTACTTTTCTGTTCTAATCTTCTGTTTACCTAAAATCTACTTAGCGGCCATTTGTAAGGTGAAAGGTTATACAAAAGTTAATGGAATGTCATAATGCACATAAGCTCTCATAAAACTCAAATTTGGCCCATTGTACTTAGAGAATCTCAACAATTTTTGTTGGGATTTGGCTTGGATCTTATGGTGATGTTTTATGATTGAATGGCTCTTCTGCCTGTGGAGGCTGAAAGGGAGATTTTCACCATTTCCTCCTGCTTCAGGCTCCCAGTTTGTTCCCTGCAGTGTTCCTTTGGTCCACTGAACTGTAGGAGCACAATTGGGGGATGGGGCATGGAAAAATACAATAAGAGGCAGGAGGGGAAGTTGCCTTTTTCTAATGTTGCTGTTCATGCTCATTTGCTTCATATGGCTTCTGTTCTGTAGCTTGCACAGTGAAGTTTTGTATTTCGCGTCCCCCCATACAGTATTGACAGGACCACAGAGAGAAGTATTTGAGGGAAAGCCAATTGCTTTTCCTTCTCTTTTACTATTTGGGAAATACTGGCTTACAAATATCTATATGTTTTTTAAAGCTGAAAATGTAATGTTTAATATCTGAGAACTTCTGATCAGGAATTATTTTGCTTAGATTATTCATGGTTTCATGAAAACCCTGTCCAGAATTGTTGGGATAGTTGTTGCACAAGAATAAATACATTAGAGAGCGGAGTAGGTTTGGGGAGGACAGGCCCTCATGTAGGCAGGGGATGAGGGAGGGAGAAGAATGCAGGTCCTTTTGAGCCAATATATATTTCTACTAGTGCTGGGGGGGGGAGGGGTGTTAATTTGTAAGGAAATGTGGTTGCTTTACTTCCTCTTTTGCTTTTGTGAAAAGTTTGCTTCCTGCAAGTCTTGCCTTGTTCATAAGCATGGTTTAACATCTGAATAATTAAACAATTGCTACTGACCACTGTCTCTTTCACTGATCAAGCTTATGGATAAATTGTTTAGAAAAGGTGGAAAGAATATGTTTTTGCTTTCTTAAAGCTGAGCCTTCTAGAAATCTGTACTTGGAAGCATTGTTTCCTGTATTTCTAGTTAGCAAATTTCTGTTCCCTTTGCATTGTTACTTACCTTCACTAACTAATCCTTTTCCTGGTACTGCTTTCTGGTAGACTTTTCTGGGGGAGGGGAAGAAGCCTCCTCACCCTGGGCCTGCTGCAGTTTAAGTGCAGGCAGCAGCTAGAATGTCTGAGCTACTGCCATCACATTCCTTTTCTGCCATTTGGAACAGCTGTAAAGGAGAGAGAAACTGGAAGCTATACTTGGTCCTGCAGACTGAAAGAGGAGGAGCTCTGACCTCTGGGACTGTCATCTGTTGCCAGGATCTCCTGGTAGACAGGAGTGGGTGGGAGCTCTATTGCAGAACAGAGGAAAATATTGCATGAAAGCACAATTGTGCCTGGAGAAGTCCTCAGTGAGAGGGAGGGCAAACTAATGTTTTGCATTATTTTTTGTGAGTTGTCATGGAGACCCACACAACTGGAAAGGCAGACAATACTTTTAATCTGAATGTTGCTGTATTAATACTTCCAATAGGAAGACAGCTATATCACTGAGACTTTTAAAAAGTACTATCTTGCACTTCTGTTTAGAATACTATTGTAGTCCATAGCTATGAAGGATGGGATACAATGCAGAGCAGCAGTGGAGGGCAGTGGTTAGAGTATCACGCTCAGATGTGGGAGGACTAGGTTCAAATCATGATTCTACCATGAAGCTCGCTGGGTGACTTATGTTGCTGTGCGTCTCTTTCACCCAACTTAATTTGTCCCATCGGGTGGTTGTGAGAGTAAAACTAGGTGAACTGTATACTGCCTTGAATTCCTTGAAAGGAAGGAGGGATAAACATGAAGAAATGAAAAATAAATAAGTATACTAAAGGCAGTAGTTGAACAGATATCCTATTAAACACACTGTAATTCTGTCTTAGGTTCAGTTATTGCTCTGGAGTTCAATGGAGATGGTTCCATAGCAGCCTGTCAAGACATTGTTGCGAAGGTCTTCACTAGTACTAAGGTGAGTGATAGTGTGGATTCCTCATGTCCCTAAAGGACACATATTGCTTTAGAGGTTGCAGAGTTCCACAGTTCTCTTCTGAATTATGCTAGCTCACAAGAACTTTATCTTGAATTCTATTTTCTGTTTCAGATTTTCAGTGGTATACAAAATAATAGGTGCTTGCATTAAATAATAACCTTGTTTTTAGCCTCCATTCTCCAAGATCTCCAAAGACCAACCTTATCAGAAATGGGAACTCTTCTTGATGTTTATGTTCATAATAAAACACTTGGCACTTTAAAATTACATACTCAGTGACTTGACAGTAGTATTACAGTTGTTTGCAAAAGCTTTTTTGAGACAGCAGTAGTTATTTCAGAAGTAATCTTGGTAGTACAGTGCTCCTGTGTTTGCACTATCAACATAACAGGGAATAAGCGCCTTCAGTTTCAGTTACACTATTTACGCTGTAATTAAACATTTTGTTTAAGATTTTCTTTTTTATATATTTTATGCTATTTTATGAAGACATCATCTTGGATAAAGTTATTGGAAGCTTGTTTTGATTTCTAGTTGAAATAACTTGAACTTGCTTTCCAGTTGTAGTGGCAGGGTGATTTCTTCTTTAATGGTATGCATTTCTTTGACAATAAAAAGGAGTATGGAATTATGCTGTCTTATAGATAGCTTATTAGACATGACTGCTGTGGTTAGCAATATAACATTTCCCCCCTTTTTATTCTAAAACAGGTTTTTGTATCTGAAGATAAGGCATCTGCTTCCAGAGAGGTAGACAGCTTCTATAACTTTGCTGACATGCAGATGGGAATGTGAAATAAATGTGACACAGAAATGTTACTCACAGGTGATCCCATTGACAGTTGAGATACATTTAGGTTTGTATAGCTGTCTGCATTGATAGTCAGATATTCAATAGTAAATTACTTGCCTTTACAAAAAGTAAATTACTTGCCATTCCACAAACACCATCTTTTTATAAAGTAATATTAAGTAGAATTTCAATATTCATCTCTTATAATGTATATAATGTGATGGCACCTAAAGTTCTCCTGCCAGTTTTTTCTGACATCGGAAAGGTTGTACATATGAACATTAGTCTTGGTGAAAGTTCAGATGCATTCAACTGATTTGCAACTTTTGAATAGGTAAAACAAAAACTTGCCATTGTGTGTAACGTGCTTTCACTGAAAATGAGTACAGTCATGCCAAAGTTAAACTCTTCCTGATTGCAGTGGGAAAGATTTAAGCAAGTTTCCAACTGATTTTAATGTGACTTGGCTTGATTGTATTTTGTGAGCAGTGGAGCTGATAAAAGCTCGTTGCTTGAATGTTTTCCTCTGAAGTCCCAGGTTCCACAACTTCTCAGCATGTAGCAACTTGGTGGTTCATATACTCTGGAAATATGAGCAGTTCATGTGAGGGGTGCAGATGCATGAGACAAGTGTTTTTGCTTCTTATGCAAGCAAAAAGTGGAGACTTGTAGCTCGCTCTGCTGGTAGTGTTACGTCCTGCTCTGAGGGTAGACTGGGATATCTTTGAGGGTAGACTGGGATATCCAAAAGAAGCAGGACTTAATGGGAGAAAATTTCGCTTCTGATTTCTGCCTGCTATAAAATCCACAGTGGAAGATAACAAGTCTGTATCTTCCTGAAAATCTAGGGAGGGGGGTATTGATGTCATTTTATTATTTTTGCCACCTGTGAACAGTAAGAGGTCTTGAAATTCTAAAAGAAGGAACATTTGTAGGACTTCAAGGAAGTGGTGGTAACAAAGTGGTGGTCATTGAGACACAATTATAAGCATAAAAGCTATGGAGATAGATCCTAAAGCTCTGTGAAGAGAGCAAGTTGGTGAAAGGATTGTATTGCCTTCCACCTCCTCACTATACAGGTCACAGAACAGCTCATGAGAGAGGTGAAAGGGGTTTTGCCAAATCCCTATTCTGGCCGCTGTGCCGTACATCTTGTCCTCTGAAGCTCAGGAGTTGCATTCTGGGGGCATAGGGGGCTGCAGTATGAACAGGTATGTGGCAAAAAGTCTCTCCTGCAAGCAAATCCGTTAAGATCTGTCTCACATTTCCCAGCCATGCTGAATCATAATGGAAACTATCATTTTGCCTACTTGGAGCATAGCATTTTAGCCCTGTGAAGTTCTAAACAAAACTCTGTTAGGATACTGCTGCTGTGATCACCGGGGAGAACATAGAGGTCTACGTTCAAACATGACAAGCATGTTTCCCACAGGTCCTTCGGGGAGCTAATCCAGCAGTTTACTCTGCAATTGTACAAATCCAGATGAAAAATTTACTAGTATCTTTGACCTGTAATTTTGCATGTCTTGGACAACCATGACCTCTACTGTGCCACTAGAGAGCTAGAAAATCATTTGGCCAGGGACCTGTTTAATGTGTCATTTCCCTATTATAAAATCAGTCACTTAACTTCTCCAGAGCCATTGACACTTCATGTTGTAATTTGTTTCTTTGTCGTTGTTCAGTCGCACAGTCGAGTCAGACTCTTTGCAACCCCATGGACCAGATCACGCCAGGCCCTCCTGTCTTCCGCCGTCCTCTGAAGTTGGCTCAATTTCATGTTCGTTGCATCTATGACACTGTCTAACCATCTCATCCTTTGCCGTCCCCGTCTTCTTTGACCTTCAATCTTTCCCAGCATCAAGGTCTTCTCCAGTGAGTGCTCCCTTCTCATTTGGTGGCCAAAGTATTTGAGCTTCAGTTTCATTATCTGGCCTTCCAGGGAACAGTCAGGGTTGATTACTTTTAGGATTGACTGATTCGATCTTCTTGCAGTCCAAGGGACTCTCAAGAGTCTTCTCCAGCACCATAGTTCAAAAGAATCTATTCTTCGACGGTGATCTTGGATCCCAGGAACATGAAGTCTGTCACTACTTCCACGACTTCCCCTTCTATTTGCCAAGGAGTGATGGGGCCGGATGCCATAATCTTAGTTTTTTTTATGTTGAGCTTCAAGCCCACTTTTGCGCTCTCCTCTTTTACCAGGAGCAAGAGGCTCTTTAGGTTTCTGCGTTGTTGTAATTCTGTTTCTGATATTGTAATGAATGTACTTTTGTGGAGCCTTTAAGGGACCACTATTCTCAAAGACTTGCACCTCTGTATGTAACTGTATTGCTGAGTACACAACACTAGAGGCCATT